AACTAAATAATTTGTAAAAAAAAAAAAATATGATGCTCAAAGACTTCGCAATATTTAGTAGTTACACAACATAGATCATGTAACTTATACATTGATATTTTGTTGTATTCTAATTGTTGCATCACCTTTAACTGTATCGTGGAAGGAAGATGGGTGGAGTTATAGTTTTTCTGTATTTCTTCTATGTAATTTTAGGTTTTACCTTTGTTTAACAATAAAAAATAATTTAAAAAAAATTATTTATATCTTTTTTTATTTTTATTAAAATTTTTAAGTATTTAATAAAAAAATTTCGTTATATTAAAAAAATAGTTAATCTTTTAATTTTTTTTTTATTTTTTTTATTTTTGCTAGTTAAGAGAGCTTAAAATTCAAAAATAGCTTAGCCAAAAGGCACAAGCAGCCACAAGATGTTAGAATTTAAACTAATAAAATGAAAAAGAGAGGAAGGAGGATCCCTAAACTGAGATAGAGAGGATTGGAGTTTAAAGCCTAACTTAGCAAGAGAGTTGGCACATTGGTTAGCTTCCCTACAAATATGAAAAAATCTAACAAATTTAATAGTTTTAAGAGCATCTCTAAAATTACAAATAAGAGAAAATAGAGGATGAGATGGAAATTGAATATTAAGCACCAAAGCAATTGCATCTTTGGAATCACTTTCAATCCAAATAGAAAAAATCCTTTACTGAATGACCAACTGGATACCCAAGTAAATACCCCACAATTCAGCTGAAAGGGTGTTGCAGGGGACAAGATTGCAGCAGAATTCAACAATAAACTTGCCATGGTTGTCCGGAATCAACCCTCCACAAGTAGCAGTTCCATTGGTCCTAGAAACAAGTCCATCCACATTTAATTTAAGCTGGCCAGCAAGAGGAGGAGTCCACATGGTCATACCATTGTCAGAGACTATATGAGGGTGGAGTCTAGAAGGAAACTTGCTACAATAGAAAAATAAATCAGCATCAGCTTGGGCTTTCCTAGCTAAAACGAGGCTATATAGCAGAGTTTTGAAAAATAAATTGGTTTCTATTCTTCCAAATGAACCAAATAACAATTTCAAATAACACAGGTTAATTGTGGAAATTTTGACCATAAGATCTAGAAAGATTAGACCACAGCCATTGAGAGATTCCAAGATCGAAAAGCTGCACCCAATGGTTACAGAAAATAAAATGATCCCAAACTATTCCAGCAAAATCACAGTCTCTTATAGCATGCATTATAGTTTCAGGACCATTCCCACACCTAGGACAATCAGGGGACCAAGTCATTCCTCTATTAAATCTTTCCTCATTAGTGAATAATCTCCCATGAGCAATTTTTTACAGGAGAAAAGCAACTTTAGAAGGGCCTCTCCATCTCCAAATTAATTTGAACAAGTCAGAATTCTGATTATGATCATTAGTAGAAGTATTAATCAATTGGTAGGCAAATTTCAGGTTAAAATCCCCATTGTTTGAGAGATTCCAGAAAGCCACATCAGGCCCTCTGAACCTCACAGGGGGGCAGCTGAATGATAGCCTTCCCAACTCGCGTAGGTAAAATGAAATAAATTTTTCCAAGATTCTAGCCTTTTTGGTCAACAAAAAGAGCAACAATGGAATTAAGATCAAGGTTAGTAACAAGAATAGTAGCATGATTAATCAAATTATCAGATCAAGGGATCCAACTATCAGTCCAAAACTTTATAGACATACCATCTCTAACAAGCCATCCCAAACCCTGAGAGTAAAGGGGCTAAACATTCATGAGGTTTTTTCAAAGAAAAGACTGTTTAATAACTTTCCTGCCTCCCAGTAATTGGCCAGGATTGAAGTTATATTTGTGAGTCGAAACTTGAACCCACAAAGCAGAAGGAGAGGAAATCATTCTCCAACAGAGTTTCATCATGTAGGCTTTTATATGGAGATATTTAAAACCTAAACCTCCCTAACTTTTATCTTTACAAATATGTTGCCATCTAATAAGGTGACATTTATTTTTACCCAAAGAGCTCCAAATAAACTTTCTGCACAAACTCTCAATTTCCTTACAAATAGAAGAGGGCATGATTAGGGACTGCATAATATAAGAAGGAAAAGCCATAAGACAAGTAACCCTTCCAGCTAGAGAAAGGGAATTCATCTTCCAAATAGATAATTTTTTTTTAATTTTGTCCAGGATAGAAGTAAAATGGATTCTGGAAGGCTTTTGATGGAGAATGAGAACCCCAAGGTACTTACCCAGCTGACTAACAGGTTTGATCCCTAAGTAGTCACTGACTGATTTAGCCAAAGAAGGATCAATATATTTAAAAAATAATAAGGAAGACTTATCATAATTTATCTATAAACCTAAGGCATGACCAAAATCAGATAGGACATTTTTAACCATATTAGCTTGCTGAATATTAGCTTTAGTGACTAGAATTAAGTCATCAGCAAAAAAGACAATGTTGGATAAGGTTAACTACGGTAGCATTAATACCTATCTTATGGAGGGTGTCAATAATAAAATTCTACCTAAGCTTATCATAGGCTTTTTCCAAGTCAAGCTTAATGATCATATAGTCAGCTTCCCTCCTAAGATTTTGGAAAGAATGAACAAGCTCTTGCAAAATAATTACATTATCTATGCCTTGTCTTCTAGGAATAAAGCTAGACTGATTAGCAAAAATTAAGTGCGACAGAGAATCCTTAATCCTATTTGCAATAAGTTTAGTGACAATTTTATAACTAACATTACATAAGGAAATTGGCCTAAAATTTTTAATTTCTTCAAGATTGTCAACTTTGGGAATAAGAGTGATTGTTGTTTCATTAACAGTAGAGATTTTTCTGGGATCTTGAAAAACTTCCAGAACAAACTTATATATAAAAAGGAGCAATGGACTGCCATTGATTTTTAAAGAGTAAAGCATGGAAACCATCAGGCCCAGGAGATTTAAAATTTACAATACTAAACAAAGAGGCTTTGATCTCATCAAGGGAGGGAATGGCTGAAAACTTCTGAAAATAAGAATCTCTAAGGGGAGAGGAAAAGGTCTGGGTCAGCAACTCTGAGTTATTAGGAAATGGATCATGATAAATATTTTTAAAATAGTTCAGGGCCATATTTTTTAATTAGGAAGGGTTGAACTCCCAATTTCCAACCTCATCCTTAAAGGCATGGATGGTATTCCTATTCCTACGAAAGTTGACAGCTCTATGAAAAAAACTAATGTTACGATCACCCAATTGAACCCACCTAGATCTATACTGATGATACCAGTAGGATTCTTCATAATCCAAAAGTTGATTATACTCTCTCTAAAGGGAATTCATTTGCTTAGTAAGGAAAGGGAGTTTCTCCAAAGGTTAATTTTTTGGAAATTCCTTCAATTCTGCTAAATAATTTTTTCTTTTTATGGAAGATATTGCCAAAAGTGAACTTATTCCATTCAAATATATTGTCTCTAAATCTATTAATGTTTTCAGTCCATGAACTAGATAGAGACCAAGAAGTTTTGACCTGATTAGAAAAATCAGGGTGAGACACCTAGGGAGCCAAGAATTTGAATAATTTTCTAGAAAAAAGATTACTTGTCCTTAGAGTTTATTTGAAGCCAAAGACCTATATGATCAGATTTAGAGACAGGGGTATGTATAACATGACTATTTTGGAATAATAGACACCACCCCTCATTAGCTACAACTCTATCAATTATTTCTTTTAGACTTTCTCTTTGCCAAGTAAAAGGGTAGCCCTTGAATCCTAAGTCTATCAAGCTACAGTTATTAAGGCAGTCAACAAATTGGGCCATAAGGGAGGGATTAGCAACCTTTTCCCCTAGTTTCTCCTTACTATAAAGAATAGAGTTAAAATCTCTTGCAACACACCAAGGGCAATTAATAGATTGGCTAAACTCAGCTAGATCATTCCAACATTCAGTCCTAATTCTTGTTTGGGGGTTAACATAAATAGAAGAGAGGATCCAATCTGGTTGGCCATTATAACTAATACTAAGGTGAATGACAAATTTTAATTTAGAGAAAAAAGAAGCATTAACCTTATTTGTATTCCAGAGGCACCAAATACCCTCAGAGAAACCCACAACATCCACTTTCTCATAACCATCTAAGTTTATTTTATTAATAATTTTATTAGCCTTCTCTAAGCTAACCTTAGGTTCAAATAAAGCAAGAAAATCTAGCTTATAAATGACAATGAGGTCATTAATAAGTCTAACAAAGGATCTACTACCAACACTCCTACAATTCCAGAAAAAATAGTTCATAAAAACAAAGGAAAGCTAGGATGCATCTGAGCGATGTAGAGGAATAGGCAAGCTAGACTGCAAAACAAGAGAACTATCAAAATTTTCTTGATCCTTAACACCTAGAGGATGCACTAAATCCATATCCATTAGAGGGTCTGGAGGTTTTGCAGGTTTAATATGTAAAGGCCATTCTCTGTTAAAGTTATTCCTAGAAGTTCTTGGATAAAGCAGCCCTTAGATAAGTTTTTCTCCATTTCGTTTTGCAATTGGCTCATCAAAAACAAAATTTTCCTATTGTTACTATCATTCATACTTGAATCCATATAATGATTTTTAAATAATTCTAATCCTTCAACCTAAAGGCTGGCCCCTCCCTAATGTCCTACAATTTCGCAGACTTGAATTTATGCCTAGATTTGAGAGACTTTTTGAAGAATTTAATATTGATAGGCTCTATAATGCTTTTCCCTATAGATTTCGCCTTGTGCCCCTCCCTATGTTTTGGGACCTCCTTACAAGTCAAAACCTTATTGTCAGGTGAGCTGTTTTGAACAGTTGGACAATCTTGGCTTAATTCACTCTCAAAATTATACAATATACCAAATCAAGAACCAGAGGAAAGCTCCTTATTCTTACCAAGTGAGGTAGACCCTACTAGCCCTTTAAATTGCCCTGGTTTTTTCCTTAAGGGCTTTTTGGCTAACATCTAGCGATCGAAATGACCCTGATCCCCATTGGAAGTATCTGTTTGGGAAATTTAAGCATCTTGTCGATGAGGGTAAACCAGATTTATAGACTCATCAATCTTTTCAAATTCAAGAGAATTAGAACTGGACTTAGGACTTATTTTATCAATATGAGTGATAGACATCTCCACACATGACTCTAACCTATGACCATATTTGCCACAATGGAAACAGATGAGGTAAAGACCTTCATATTCTATTCTAAAAACTTGACCTAACACCTTAAATGATGGAATTAACTTTTGATTTAGATCAATTTCAACACAAATTCTTGCAAAATGACCTCTGGTTAGAAGAGAAGCGTGGGAATCAATTTTTAGCATTGTTCTTGAGCAAGTACTAACTTGCCACAAAAAATTTTCATTGTATAGTTTAAGGGGGAGGTCTGGTATATGCACCCAGACAACAAGTTTTTTAAGATTATATTCTTGAGGCCAGAATGGAGGCCTCCATCTTTGAACTAGTAGGTAGTGGTCCATTATGAGCCAAGATCCTTCAAATAGGGCACACTTATAATCTTCTACATTCTCAAATTTGACAAGAAAGAAATCATTGTTAAGGTCTAAGATCTTAAGATTTCCATTTTTTCCCCAAATGTTATTAAGCTTTTGTTTTAGAAAATTAAAACTAATTGATTTGCCTAGAAGTTTTACTATTAAAGTAAATTTCCATGGACTGCACCAAGATTCATAATCCGCTAGGAGAATCCTAAGCTCAGGGCAGAGATTAATGCTATTATCAGTTTCCATTGGCGGTTCTTTAGAGTGTAGAGGAATATTAAATTCCTTCATAATAGATCTAATGATTTCATCATCGCCTATAACTAGATCTATATCTTTAATTGCAAGGACCTTATCTTTATAGGACATGCAAACAGAGGAGTTAAGGTTCGAATGCACCTGGTTTGATTCACCATAATCAGTGCTAACATCTTGCATGCATAAATCTGCATCATCTAAAGGCGACATTGGAACTCGTTTGACCTTTTTTAAACTTCAGAATACCAGTTCAGCTTTCTCTTCAAAACATTTCTTCGCTTCAGTGTGAACCACCACAGCATTTTGCTAGCCATCTTGATATAGCATTATATCTACCTATCGTGATTCTTCATACATATGCTCTTTTTAGATAACCATGGACAACTTTGCACCCATCTTTATCTTCTTTGGGCTCAGATTTATCAGATCCATTACTCCCTATAAACGTTTCTTTGTCTCAAATGGTTCCATCCCTTTGGGATCCACAGGCTCAAGGGCCTGAGCCCCAAAGTACTTTACTTCCAATATACCAACTTTGTGGCACAAAAGTCTCATAATAGGGCTTCAACAAAATTGTGGCGCAAAGGTCCCTAATAGCGTCTCTTGATTCTTGAAAAGAAAAGATTTTTCTTAAACCCAAAAGAAAAACCCTAGCAACGTCTAATTATTTTGTATTTTAATTTTAGTTTTAATTGCTCTTTATCTTCTTCTTTTTCATTAATAATTCCTCTAATTTTTGTTTTGTTTTAAGTTAGTCCTTTTATTATAATCTCATTGAAAACCTTGCTGAAAATTAATTTTTGAATTGGGTTATCTTGATTTTATTTAATTCTTTTATGTATATACCAATAAATACAGTGACACTCTTATTTAATAAACTATTTTTGTATAATTCATAAAGGATATATAATTATAATTAAATTATTAATTGACTCTTTTGTTAATATGATACAAATAAATTTAGCAAAATATTTAAACTTTTAATTTCTCTATAATTTATTTATAAAATTTTTAATAATACTTGAAATAATAGAATTTAACATATATTTAAATATTTTTCATTGTAACATAATTTGCTATATAAAATACAATTTGAACAACAATAAATAGTTATCATATTTGGTATTACTTCAATTCAGAAGTTCAATATTTACAAGTCATAAACAAAATACATTAGAACTTAATTTAAATAATTATAAGATCAAAGTATACCAAGTCCTAATGAGCATATCATTCCCATACTAAAAATTTAGAGACATGATCCTAGGCTAAACCAATCTAACTGGTCTCTAAGGGATAATAATTTTCATTGCCTGAAAATATTAGTAAGGATGAGTCTTTTCTTCAATACTAAAACATGACAAAAAATACTCAATTTGGTTTTTCACAACAATAAACATATCAACAATATCTTAACACATGTACTATAAACACATAATGCAATATATCATTCTCTCATACAGACACTTCTTATGCACTATGATCACATTTAATAGTTACCTCTTATATTCCATGAGGTCTTACACACGCATGGATAGTCGTTGGTTGGCCATTGTTCGTGGGCAAGTGTACCCATCAAAATTAATAAAGAGTTCTAAAATAAGTTTTTGAAATATCATCTCAGAAGGATTGTTTCCAATTACTAAGAATTTTTTTAATTTAATTATTTTAACTTAAAGGATGTAAAAGTAAATAAAATAAAGATTTAAATATAAAATTTAATTAAAAAAATTAAAATAGCTCAGCCTCTAACAATAAACTTAATAAAGAATAACTTAGGGAATTTGGTTTCTCTTTTACACTTCTCTATATTCATTTTTAGAAGAACCTAGGGCGTATGGAACTCACCATCCTCATCTGTGACAGCGGGTGGTGGTGCAAGCTACTCCTCTGATGTTGCTGGCTCCTCCTATGTTGGCACTACTAGGATACCAATATGTACTCCCTATTACCCACTTGAGTAAGGATGCCCATCCTATAGAAGGTGTCTATGGTCAGCAGGTCATCTCAACAATCTTGGTGTCTCGCCTATGGACTCGCTGGAGGCTGAGGGTGAGCGAGGAGATGAAGGATCTGACACTGATATAGTTGATCTTTGAAACACTTAGCCTAGCTCCTAAGCCCATGCAGCAGAGAAGGAGGAACTGCCTAGCATTGACGCAATGCTGGTGAAGCATGCACCAGGGGATGAAGAGGTGATGAGAGCTGACATTACCTGTGCTTTGGCTACGTGCAAATATGGAGTGGACGAGCCATCGGTGGACCACTCAAAGAGCTGGATCACGAATGGCTGCGCTCTTGGCGAGCTAGCCTTATAGACGTCTCAGGTGCATGTGATCTCCTGCCAGGCTTCATCTTTAGAATAATCTAGGAGGATCTCTACTAAGGCATCCCGATAGGCTGCAGTCTTGATAGACTCCTTAGTCTCAAACCAGCAATGGATGTTGAATTGTGCCAACGTCATATCCTATTGAGTGGTCATATGAAATCTCACCTGTAAGTCGTCAAGGGAGCAAGCCTTCACAGATGGTGCAATGTAGGTGACAGAGTTTAAAATCTCCAAGACAAGCTCTCTGTAGGCCGGTGTCGACACAACCTGGACACATTCCCATCCTATAGCAACGATGTAGTGTGAGATGTCCTCCTAGAGGCCATGCTCCTGTAAAATGGTCTCATCCAAATAGCAGGTTGGGGGGAACTTGAACTCAAGTAAAGTGTCTAGGCGCTTGTGGTACCTAGCCACCGTGCCTGATTTCCCTTTGAAACTGTATCTCAGAGGCTGGGGCAGCATAGGAGGTACTGATAAAAACAAATTATATATGATGTGTTATTAATAAGATTATGCAGTAAAACTGAGTAAAAGAGCTCAAGCTTTACAATGCTAAGGTAGATTTCCCATAGTCAGTAATTGACTCCTCTAGAGAATAAACTCTCCTTAGCAAAACTCACAATATTCTTACCTACCTCACTTCCACTCCCTTCTCTCCCCATATACCAGGATTCCCCTATTTCCTGGATTCCTTCCATCTCACATCCCCTCTAACTAATTAATCATTATTCCCTAACCGCATTTTCTGTCTCCTAGTATAGACTCTCAACACATTGGCCTTTTGTAAAATTGTCCCATCACTAGACACAGGCCCATCACCCTTTCTTTATAATATTTGCCATATTTGGCACCCTATCATTGCCCCCCTTCAGCAACAACCTTGTCCTCAAGGAAGAATGAAGGAAACTGACTTTGGAGCAGTACTTCATCCTCCCACGTTGTCCCATCCCTTGTTCTAGCTTTCCACTTCACCAACCATTACTTACTTCGCTGGTCTCCTCGAACAATTTCTCTTGATGCCAACACAATTTCTTGTTCTTCAATTTCATCTGATTCCACCTCCAATTTTGCTGACAAAGATTATTCCACAGCATAATTTCTCAAAACTTTTTTTAATTATGAAATGTGAAACACAAGGTGTACTTTAGCTGTATCAAGCAACTTCACTTTATAAGGAAAAGATCCTAACTTAGCTATTATAGGTAAAGGACCATAATAGCATGGAGCAAGTTTGAGATTAATCTGGCGTGCTATTGTTTGTTGTCTATAAGGCGCAACTTAATGAATACCCACTCACCCACATCAAACTCAAGAAATATGAGCTTTTTATCAGCAAATTTTTTCATTTATTGTTGTGCACGCAGTAAATGATATTATAGTTGTTGCAAAGCCTCATCTCTATCCACCAATTCTGCTGCCACGGCCTCAATATATGCCTCCCCTTGTGAAAATCGAACCAATGTAGGTAGTTTCCTCTTATAAACCACTTCAAAAGGTGTCATACCAGTGGATACATGGAATGTGGTATTATACCATAATTATGCCCATGGAACCCAATAAGACTAAGTTTTAGGCTAGTCTAAGACAAAACATTTGAGATAGGCTTCCAAGCACCTAGTCACTACTTCCGTTTGGCCATCGGTCTCCGGATGATATGAAGCGCTCAACTTTAACTTGGTTCCTTGTAAACGAAATAATTCCTGCCAAAACAAATTCATGAACAAAGGGTCCCTGTCACTAACAATAGATTGTGGTATACCATGAAGCTGCACCACCTCTTTAACAAAAACTTTCGCTACCTTCCTTGCTTTATAATGATGCTTAAGGAGGATAAAATGCCTATTTAGACAATCTGTCCACCACCACTAATATAACATCAAACCCCTTTGATTTCGGCAATCCTGTAATAAAGTTAAGAGAAATATCCTTGCAAATTCTATTTGGGATTGGCAACGGCTGTAATAAACTGGTTGGAGAGGTTGTAACATATTTTTGGCGTTGACACACATCACACTACTTAACAAAGTCCAGCACCATCTTCTTCATATCCACCCAATATAAGTTAGCAACAATTCTTTTATATGTCATCAAAAACTCCAAATGGCCCCCTACTGGATCAGAGTGAAATTTAGCCAAAATCATAGGTATTAAAGTTAAATTTGCTAGTAGTACCAACCTGCCCTTGTATAACAATATTCCTCGCTATAAACTGAACCCAGGATGAGAATGAGCATCTTGCAATAAGTTGTGCTCCACCTATTTCAAGAAAGGGTTAAATTCTTTTTCCTTGCTAATGTGCTGGCCCTGTAACCAGACAAGAAAAGAGGCAATCTTCCTGAACTCGCCATCTTTAAACATTCTAGACAAGGAGTCTGCAGCTTTATTCTCAGGACTAGGCTTGTATATAATCTCAAAGTAATACCCCAAGAGCTTTACCAGCCAATTTTGTTGACCCAGTAATGACACGCTGCTGTAAAAGATGTCCCAAACTCTTTTGATTGAAATACACTTTGAAACTTCTACCCAACAAATAAGGCCTCCAATATTGCACAGCTAGCACAAGTGCCATTAACTCCTTTTCATAGACTGATTTGCTAATATTGTTATGCGACAAAACTTTGCTAAAATAGGCTATTGGCTGTCTATTTTGCATCAATACTGCCCTAATACCCACTCTGGATGCATCACATTCAATTTCGAAAGGTAAAGAAAAATTAGATAAAGCTAAAAGAGGAGTTTTAGTTATGACCCTTTTTAATTCTTCAAAAGCTGCTAATGCTTTGAGACTCCAATTAAATCCCTCTTTCTTGGTCAACTCAGTAAGAGGCTTCATTATCTTACCATATCCAGCAATAAATTTTTGATAATACCCAGTCAAACT